GTGGTGTAGTCTTGGAGTTATGGCATGAGTTTAGTACTGAACGCGTCTTAAGGCCCTTGCACACTGAGGGCCCTATCTTGCACTCGGCGCAAATGACTTTGTACACTGACGCATGTATCATTCCTATTTTGCACCCGCGCAAAGCGGACTTTTCCCTCCACAGACGCACGTCGGTTAACTAAGAAATACACTTGCGCTCCCCGGGGCGGTTCAGCGCAAAGAGGAGGCGTGTTCCGGCGCAAACTTTCCCTCATGCTATTTTGCTGTTCTATAAAACAATTGCGCCACTGACCAGAAAAAAACTAGTCTAAAGTCAGTGGCGCGTTGCGCGTTGTTCATTATGCTATTTTAAGGGCGCATGCTTGGCCATAATCAATGTAGCGTGTGCACAACGCGCATACACTTTGATTCTCTCATCTAAGCAGCAGTTTTCATTTTTGCAAATCATACATTATTACGATAGATAGATATATAGATAGATAGACAATTTATTATAAAAGCATACATGTAGCTTACACATTTACCCAAATTATCATACGCCTGTTTAACAGAAGTTAATTTGGGTGGCTTTCTCCATCCCCAATGTCACTTCTCTGTGTTTTACGGCCCTGACGAGAACGTCGCTCTCCTCGGCTGTGAACCGCTCCTGGCGCGCGCCTGGCAAATCCGCCGTTATAATAGGAATCCGCTTTAGAACAAGCGCGCCTGCTCTTAAAGGGAATGTGAGATGACGCTCTGATTGGTTTATTTCACGTTACGCCCAAACCACACCTATGAATAATGAAGCTACTTCAGACCAACCCCTTTTAGATTTGCGCCAGGCGCAAGAGGCATTTATCCCGCCGGGAAAATAGCAACAGCGCCGGGATCCGCCCACAAAGTTACTTGCGCTTTACGCTTTGACACTTGCGTTTCAGATCGTTAAAATAGGGCCCTGAGTCCGAAATTCGCGTCCGAATTTTTCGCACGTTAAAAAATAAATACGACCTCACGTTATGTCAATCACGCTTGCACACTGCCTCCGAAACTTACGTCCGTCATAAAAAAAATCGGATCGGGTTTGATTTTCTGTATTTTTCGCATCCGTAGCAAGCAGTTTGAATGGTGTTTTGACAATTCAGAGCCACCGAATCACGAATGCGAAAAAACGCATACGAAAATCTCGGACTCAGTGTGCAAGGGCCTTTACTGTGCAGCTGAAACCCCAGTGCCTGTTGTCACCAAGTCTTGCTGCAGGTCATTTGCAGTCACTCGAGGGGTTTTCTGAACCTGCCTTCTCAGAAATCTGGTTGCAGCCGTTGATAGCTTCCTTTTTCTGCCCCGTCCAGGTAGTGTAACCACTGTCCCTGTAACTTTGAACTTGCGAACTATGCTTCCAACGGAGTCTCTAGGAACATTTAGTGCCTTCGCTATCTTTTTGTATCCTGTTCCTTGTTTGTGAAGGGCGATGATATCTTCTCTTAACTTTTTGGACCATTCTTTTGACTTGGCCTTATTTATAACATGCAGTCAAACGTGACAGTCAACAAACCTAGTCAGTTCAGAGATTTCATGTGTTCTAGCTCAAGCACACCTGGTGCTACTAATGAAGCCCTTGATTAGTTGCATCAGGTGTGTTTGAGACAACACCTGTTTTGCAGATTTGTGCTGTTGTGAGGGATCCTATTCAGGGAGATAAATCATTTTAAAACTGCAGAAGTCATTTTCAGTTGAATTTAGGGAAACCACTTGAAACATTTGCTATGTTGAGCTATTTCAATTACTTATGTTTGATTTGTTCATTGCAAACAGCTGAAAGTCTGTTAATTTTGCCAATAAAACTTATTTGCAATGGGGGTTGAATAATTTTGATTACAACTTCTTCCGGTGAGATTCTGATGGACACTTTACTGTCCCATGAGGCCACGGGAGAAGATTTGTGAATGACAGTGAATCGACGCAACTGATGCTGGTAGGTCACATGATAATGACAACTTGTCGAATGTAGTACGTCCGGATTACATTCATACTACACACATTCATACTATATAGAACGTACTTTTTTTAGCGGCCGTGAAGTAATTACTTATTTAAAATAAGTACCTACTCAAGATAATATGCGATTTCGGACGCAGCCTCGGTATTCGGATATATTACCAAAGTCTATAGATATAGAAAGAAGGGTCACTCCTATTACTTATGAATGGGAGAAACCGCAACGTGCAACATGGCGGAATACGTCCCGGCTTCTAAGTAAAAGAGCCAATCGCTGATTGGTACATTTGTAAGCGTCACTGCGGGTATTGCGCCTTTGACAGGCGACGCAATGAGGAGGGTCGTTTCACTGGTTAAAGTTGCGAATTTCTCTGTATTTAAACCTTGTTGGAAACATTTGGAATAATGTAAGTTCACAAGTCGACAAAATATATAACACTGTGCTAGTGGTTTTTGGAAATTTTTATGCAAAAATATTACATATTGTGCCTTTAAGTCATGCGGGAACAACACAATATCTAAAAGAATTGATTATTCAACCTAGTCAATACATTGATTTATCATTAATAAAACAACGGATCTAAAAAACGAAATTGTACCAACATTAGTTTTGCTCTGTTGCACATGTCTCATATATACTAAAAGGAAAGACCCTGCGTGTGGTGAGCCATGAACAGCATAACCCCTAAACAGATTGCTTGTATCGGAGCAGTTTGGGCTGTTGTGGACAGGGATGAGGAGTCCACGGATTCAGGGTCCTAAAGCCTTCGGTTTGTTCAATCCACCTGATCTGGACTGAGGTGTTGATAGACTGGTGTTGAGTATGAGGTCGTGCTCGACACTGTCTGGCTGAACAATTTATAAAGCGACACAGACGGAGAGTGAAAGGCGGGAGAAAGCGAGCATGAAGCTGTAAATTTCAAGTGTGAGTGTGTGTTCGAGTTGATAATGATGTGACACGCAGCCTGAATAATGAGCTGGGCTCAGGTGGACACACACCTCTGTCTCGACACCCACCCTTCGGATGAAGCGCACACTAATCACACACTCACTCACCCAGGCACACACACGCACAAACTCACACTCAGACGTCATTCTTTCTCTCAATCCTGTTTTCAGCAGCTTAACACTACCATGCTCACAAATAACATCTCCCATAAACACCTGACAAACACTTGCATACATTTATGTAGCTAAATGAGGACAGGACTCTATTGTTAGTACAAAAGATAATTATGCTGATTATAGACCAAACCTCAAACCCCAATCTCAAACCTAAGAAAAGCATAAAATAAAGAGTTTGTTGCCCAGTTGAGGACATCCTCATCCTCAAAATATTATAAGCACAAGGTCCATTTTTTTATGGGGCATGAGCGATGTCCAATTCACAAATGAATCACTATTTTGAGTCAAAAACTTCATCAAATAAATAAATTGGCAGAACTGTGTAAATTGGTTTGGGAATTAGTCAGGAAATTCAAGAACATCAAGAGTATTGGATGAAGTTGCCAGTCAACTGAAGGCAAATCTGCAGATGAATCCTATTGTTTGCAAGCGATGAAGATCTTTATTAGTTGAACATCTGCGTATGCGATCTGTGAACGTTTCAGGTATAGATACATTCGATTGAATTTTTTATACAATACATTTTACAACCAAACAGATTTTTACGCTAAGGACACGATACCACTACAAAGTATGACATTTTAGGTCACATCTATGGATTTTTTAAGCTAAGTGTGTGTGTGTGTGTGCAATTATATAAATACATATACATTTATATAAGTACATATACAATGATATATACCAAAGTAACTAGTGACTAGCTACTTTTACTTATTTCTTAAGTAGACTCAAGTTTTTGGATACTCTACCCACCTCTGATAATTATATAAAATAAATACAAATTAATTTATAAAATGTATATGTACTTATATAATTGCACACACACACAATCCATAGATGTGACAAATTATTCCACCTTATTTGGTAAAACAAATCCTAAATAAATAAATAGTATATACTTATATAAAATGTATATCAATTATTATTAGTACTTATATAATACTTTATTTATTGAGAGACGGATGGACATTCACACTCTATCTTTGTGGCTGAACCTCATCCCAAATATTTTACTCTTATCACCACACTTATCATCATAATTATAATGTGTTAATAAAGTCGTAATAGTTAAAGAGTTCATAATTCAGCTCCAGTGATGCCACAAGCTTTCAATGACCCAACCAGCAGTTCACCAATGCAATAAAACCAACCAGTGTCAAATTGCATGAAAAACAAGGAGCTTTTTCAATCCCATCTTTTCACATTCCCAAAGTACTATATAGGTAAAAACAGCAAGACTGAGAGGGAAGAAGAAAAAGAAGAAGAAGAAAAAAAAAAACATCTTTGGTAAACACAAGAAGGAACATCAGGGCAAAAACACACATTGCTCTCAAGAAAGGAGTTCAAAAAAATGAACATTATTAGCAATCTCCCAGATAAAAGATGACAACATGTGCTGATCCATGTGTGTGTATCTGTGTTTTTCCTGCTTTCCTCCGCATCCTGATTTATTGGCTGGTCTTTACTACCGCATCCAGAGAACTATTCACACTGACAAAACACAGTGGAAACACCTCTGTCTTCGTGAGAGTTGGAGATAAGTTTAAAGCCTAATAATCGCTCAGAGTCTTGAAAAACATCATAAAGCGAGCGACTGCTGTAAAATTGTGCTTCAGACAGCAGTATTACACTTCAAAACCTTTGTTTCTTCTCTCATTAATGAAGATGCAGTGTTTTTTCTGCCATCATCTTCAACTTTCGGAAGTCGCGCGTCTCTTTCCAAAGTCAAACGAGAAAGTTTCACCTCGTTCCACACAGACATACACACACATATATGCACATGTGGTTCCTTCATATACTCTTCATCACTACCAAAGATAGGCTGTTTGCTTTTTAATTTGCCAAAAAAGACTTAAAAAACAAAAAGACAAGAAAAAAGGAAAAACATGCAACAAAAATACCTTCATCTCGTGGCCGGTTCAGTGTTGATTCATCGTGTTTTTTTGTGAGTGGACCTAGGGTTAAGACAAAAAGGAGGGAAAAAGAGAAAAGAGAAAATTCAAAAAAAGATTACTGTGGCAAGAGAAAAATCAAAAAAAGAAAACAAGAAAGAGCAAAAAACAAGAAATCAGCAAGAGGTTATTGTTCTCATTCTTTTCAAAAGGTGACAAAAAGAAAAGCAAAGGCAAACAACAAAAAGCATCATAAACACAGAATATCAAGAAAGACACAAATCGGCTACAAGATCAAAGTAGTTTAATGTTAGATCTGTGAATATTCTCTCTCGCCATTGTTCTGCTGTTCTTTAACACCGGCTTCACTTCATGCCGTTCCGACGGCTTGTTTGGCTTCCGGGGATCAAGTCAAAATCAATGTGGAGGAATCAGGAATTAACCTCTGAGGTATGAAAAACAAGAATTCCCATTCCCACCCGAGTCCTCCTCCCTCCTCTCGCTCGGGTCAAGCTATCATCCGCCTCGCTTTGAAAATGTGAGAGGTGGTAGAGAAGAGGACCTGAGGGAAGGTGGGCATAACACACCAGGCACGTGTTCTCACACACACACGGCTCAAACAGCCTCCAGGGAAACAGGAACAGAGGGTGCTGTGCTCGCACATACACACACACACACACACACACAGTGTTGACACTGTTGTCTTTGTGTGTAAACTGGGAGTTTAGCCTTTCTATACATACACAGCACAAAAATAAAACCGTAACACCGTCTCTCATTAATAAGCTCTTTTTTAACGTTCTGAACAAAAATATACTCATTTCATCAGACTGAGACCAGAATGAAAATATAGGATCGAATTTAAAGGGGTCATGACATGAAAAATAAAATTTACCCTGATCTTTTGACTTGTAAGAGGTCTTTGTACCATTAAAAAATGCTGCAAGTTTCATAGTTTAAAACGTCCTCCTCATTATAAACAAATCAGTTATTTAACCAAACTCCAAAAATGGTTAGTTTTGATATTGAGGGACTTGTGACGTCACACGGGCAAATTCATTTGCATATGACTGCCTCCAGAGCAAGACATTGACTAATAGTTCTACATCATCTCCTCATAGGCTCCGCCCACTGGCGTTCAGTTGCTTAACGGCGGACATTTTCCTACACTGGATGTGAGCGTCACGTCAAAAACATAAAACCCATTATAATCACTGACGCTGTCTACACTGATACAGATTACAGATGAGTGTTCAGTTTCTGACACTTGAGTCTCTCCACAACAGGACAGATGGACGAGTGGAAGAACATTCGCTTGGTTTAAACAGCTCATCTGTGTCTCTGTAGAGACTTCAGAAGGATCCGAGTGTCGGAAACAAGTGGATGGTTTATTATAATGGCGTCCCGGATCGCGTTGAAGGGTTATATGTTTGTTCGGAGGCTCAGTGTAATGGAGAGTTCACAAAGAAACTTTTGTTGAAAGTTGAAGCAGCGACTGTTGAATCTGACAGAAGCTGCATCACAAACTGTAAGTAAATGATTGCATAATGCTTTTTTATGTAAATTACGGTTTTATATCGATCATGTTTTCGAAACACTTTATGGGCGTTGACACTGTTTCCTATGCAGTGACCTTAGCCAATCATAACAGTGGCCTTTACTGACGAGCCTTAAAGGAGCCACGCCTTTAAAGGAGCTGTATGTAAGATTGTGGCCAAAACTAGTACTGCAATCACTTTCAAATTACTGTAGAGTGGTGTATCCCCTCCCCCTCGACTCGAGGTTGCCAGATCGGCTGCAGGATCCAGCAGGAACGTGACGAGCTGCAGCTGTGGTAACTAGAGCAGAGCTGGCAACCCGGATGTCGCAACACTACTGACTTCGTGATTGGTAGATAGGTGGAGGGTGGAGCATCAGACCAAAACACAACATGACAACATCAACATCAGTTGAGGGCTGCAACTGCACTTTTTAAATGACAATATCCTGGCAGGACTACTGTTGTCAGTGATATAAGTATTTGAAATGAACATGATTTCTTAATGTCTAGTGGCATTTCAGGGCCATTTTATGATTAATTGAAATACATTTCTTACATACAGCTCCTTTAAAACTGATCATTTCAGACAGAGGCTCAGAATGAAGGTTGAAAAGAATCATTTTTCCACACATATTTGCTTTTTTTGCGAAAAAAAATATTTGATTAACATTATAAAGTTAACCTCAACATTTTTAATAGCCCCATTAAACCTTGAAATAAAAAGAAAATGTTAGGATTTCAAAAGATTCAATCAAATACTGGTTTCTGAATTCCACAGTGAAATAAACAGGTAGGAGTGGAAGAGTAGAAAGGAGTGTAACCTCATGAAACAAATCATTTTTGTCAGAGAATGCATTATAAAGATATTTTTAGACCCTTTTTAGACTTCTTTCTGTGTGGGCTGACCTGGAAAATGCCTGTCAAAGAGAGAAAGACAGTGAAAGAGGGAGATACATACAGAAAAATAATGAAGAGGTCTCTCTACTGGACATGGCTGTCCTTACTTGACATTTAAGAAGAAAAAGAGTGCATGTAGTGTGAGACTCTCTCTAGTAGACATGGAGAGTAAAAACAGGGGACAATGTGTGTATTCGCTGACCGAGGGAAATATCTTGTCAATCAAACACACAAGAGAGAAAGTCTGGCCAGAAAGGAGTTTCGAGATGAGTCCACAATGGCTCCCCTGTCCAGCGATGACAGGATGGGGCGCTTGGTGTCAAAAGGTAATCTGATTGAGAGGAAAACCAAATGACAGGATGTGGAATGAGATTCAACTGTATGTGAACATTAAAAAGGAGGGAGTGTTGTATACAATTTTAATTATATATTCATGTACGTAATCATATTTGAATAAAGGTCATTTTTCCTAGGCCGCACTTTTGGCCACTACTTTGTGTGAATATTTGTCATGGAGTGTATGTATATATATATACACATATATACTTATAACTTTACTACTTAGTTAATACAATTTTTAGCAGTCTTCAGTGTCACATGAACACTCAAAATTCATTCCAATATGCTGATTTGCTGCTCAAAAAACATTTATGATTATTATCAATGCTGAAAAAAAGTTAATATTTTTTTGGTGGAAACCGTAGCACATTTGTTTCAAAATTATTTGATGAATAATTTCATAATTATTTCTCCCACGGCCCTCGGCCTCGTCCTGCTCGCCACAGCTTGCTAAACAAAATAATTCATTTTTGAAAAGAAAAATCTTACTGACCCCAAAACATTTGAACAGTAGTGTATATATATATATATATATATATATATATATATATATATATATATATTATAATCAGTCTACATATATAATTATTGTCTCGGCTTGGCCCTTCAACCTTCCAAAATCAATTCCATCTATTTCAAGAGGCTCATTTCTACTTTCCACTCACTGATTTCTACCTGGATGGAGATATTGCTCCCAAATTCATCCTCGACCGTCCTTTTCCTTTCTCATATTCATTTTCTCTCTCCTCGGCTGCATCCAATCTTTTTTTTTTTGATCATCTGTTCTCATCATTTCTCTCCGCATAACCTCTTTTTCCAAGCCTGCCTTCTCTCTTCTCTCTTTGGTGAAGTGCTTATGTAATCTATTATTTCAGGCCCAGTTCCTGGTTGTGACCTTGCTCTGCCCTCTGGCCTTTAACAGGGCAGAAAAACACCAGCAGGGTGAGAATCTGCACACGGACGGGACGCTCTTCTGCGCATCCACTTTAACAATACAGCCAGTGATGCATGCATTCGAGTGTGTGGTTATTGAGATGTTTGTGATATAAAGGTTTGTGTATATCATTTTGCATGTGCGTGTTTTTATGTAAAACTGGGCTTTAATCGATACTTGTGCATCTGAGTGTGTATACATAACTGAAAGTAGATACACACACACACAGCGAGGCTCATCAGCAGATGCCAGTGGAATTACACACTCCCTCAGTGTTAGATGTCAGGGCTCGTAATCAGGCCGACCACAGGTGTCTGTGGACCGGAGCGCTCTAGCAGAAATGTACCCTCTCCTCTGATATCCCAAATGGGGGGATATGAGTTCAATCTGCTACCTGTGGCTCACCCTCTTTACAGAAATACGATTCAGAAAATCAGCTTGAAAGAGGAATGAGATAGCCAGATGGCTTCCACCTGATGTTTTCATGCCTCTCAGCTTCTCCTGAGTGGAAATGGGTAGAAATTAGAGAGCGCCGATAGGAAGAGAGCACCCAAGTGACTTTGATGGACTGGATATAATTGAGCTCTATTTAACAGCATTAAAGATGCCTGGCCGACCTGGTGTGTGAAGTGTGTTTCTATTATACGACGTGGGGAGATGTAAATTGGAATTAGCATTAGAGGCATTTCTGCTAAACTGAGTATTGCTGCAGTCCAGCATGGATCTGTAATGATTTCGGGGGTTTATGCGCTTTGATAAAGTGCTGAGGAAGATTCTTGGTACTGAAAGAGGAAAGATGCAGAGACGGATTAAAAGACAGTCAGATAGTAATGGTCTGATGGTAATAACATAGTATTTAAAATATGGTTGCGGTCGGGCTCAAACCTGGTATCTCAAAAAACACTACATTTCAGGAACTGGGAAAAAAAAAACCCTGCAGTCTTTAAACAATTAAACACGGCATTGTCAAAGTTGATAATGAGGCTTTATGTAAGGTCAGACACTTGCATGTGACATTTATTAACATTTTACCAAAATCAAGCTCAATGGAGTCTCAATTGAACACAAAACATACAGTACATGTTTTGTCCATCATAAGAACGGCTGCATCTGAGGCAGTAAGTGCATCGCATTATGTTTTCATCAACTTATTCTGTCATTCATCATGATGTTATAAAAGAAGAAGTGCTTCGCACAGGCTATTTTAGACAGTATTGGCTATGGCTCGATGACAAATACCAGACTTATGGTGTGTTCACACCGAACGCGAATAGAGCGCCAAATACGCGTCTAGTTAGACGCTTGAACATTTTGAACCCATTCGCGCGTCCGCGGCACTCGCGAATAAAAAAA